CAAATCAAATAACAAGATTTCAGAAGATGCAAAACAGAGGCAAATCCAGCCACAGAGCCGCCCCAGCCCCCTGCAGCCACGCACTGGTGCTGCCTTCCCCAGCTGCTCATGGCAGCTCCTCGGCAAGATACGCTCCACTCTCCTTCCCGTTTGCAATTCGTTGCTCCTATCAAGCTTCAAAAGCTTTGCTTACCCTTCTGAGAAGTACAGTGATGGCTCTTTAAAGCTGGCCACGTGCTTAACACACCAAAACCATTTGAAAGCTCTGTATTCACACTATTTCTTGCGTTTCACCTCTCAGTGCTATCAACACAGCAGGGAACCCAACACGGCCCCGACCGGCCCTACGCAGTCACCTTCATCCAATGTGGCCACCACCGCCTGTGAGAATGAAAAGCAAGGCTCTGGGCACACCCAGTGGCTGCGGTTTTCCCTGCTTCTCTCCCTGCTTTGGCAAGGGGTACGTTAAAAGAAGCCAAGACGCCTTTGGTGCCATCATCACCCGCAGAATCCAGTACCCTCCTCTGCTTCCCCGCAGGTGGGAGCCAGTGTGTCCGGCCAGCGAGGCAGGAGGGTGCAGCAGAGACAGCTGCTCCGTGTCGTACCACGCCACGCCGCCGAGACCTGTCAGGATATGTCACAACACGCGGCGTGTCGTGCCTCACCGCTTTGTCGAGCAACAAGCAAAAAAAAAAAAAAAAGAAAGGGGGGGGGAAAGATTCAGATCTAATACGTGAGTGGGCCGGTATGTGCAAGAGAGATGAATATGAAGTTAAACATGCTGGATGCTACAGTAATAACCGGGCGCACGCGGAGCGGCTGGAAGCGAGCCAGGGAGGGGAGATTCGGGAGGGATGCTGCTGAGCTCAGTCTGTGCGTGGCGGCGAAGCTGCGGCTCCTGAATGAGCGCGAGGCGGATCCCGAGGCTGCCGCGTGGGCGTCAGGCTGACACTGCTCCACCAAAACCAGCGGGAGCCCTCGGCCACGTCACCCCCTGGGCTGGGGCTGTGCCCCCTCCCAGGCTCAGCGGTGGGGTCACCAGACACCCGGGCAGCTTCACTTTGTGTGCAGGGGGAAAAAACTAGACTTCGTCCCTTAAAAATAGGGCGGTTCCTATATATGTGCTGGGTCCAGTAAACCGCGGTGCCAAACACAGAGATGGGCGACTTCCACAGGTCCCTGTGAAACATAAGAATGTGTCCCCAAGTATTTCTGTATTAAGGGAGGGACCAGTTCACACCTCTTCGTATGGCGATGCTGAAGCTAAGGGCCCTTCTTATAGCAGCTTTGTGTCCATGCAAATCTCTTTTTGGGGACCAGTGGGAGGAGACCTGAGGTCGCAGGCAGCCACCTACCACCAGACAGCATCCCTGCCTCTGTGTCCTGCCTGCCGGAGGCGGCGGGAGGAAGGGCTGCCTTCCCCAGGTCCCGTGGGCGTTCACATGGCCCCTTCGCAGCAGTCAAAGACACATTTACGAAGTGCAAACTTCTAACGGCATGGGAATGAGTCATTACGGGGTTTCAAAATGCGTAAATATGATCACATCCGAATTCGGTGTGTCACAACGAGCTACCCTGTGTCTGCAGGGTTACTCTGCTCCGCAGAAACCTCGGAAATTCCTGCCCAACCTTCTGATGAAAAAAAATCATCTGCATTCGTGTCACTGCATGCAGAGAGTTAATGTGTTTTTTAGTTTAGTTTTTTTTTTTTTGGCACTGGATTTCAATGAAGGCTTATGTGCAGTTTTACAACCCAGTACTGCTATGTTTTGCACCACAAATTTACAACTGAGTAATAAGTAAACACAAGATTTTTTGGCTACATAGGATTTTCCAAGGTGATTAAATAATTTTCTAAATAGCCCTGAGAATGAAGCTGTCTGAAATCCCCAAGGTAATAGGAAATTAAATGCATCCACATATGCTCCAAAGACAGGAGAATTTCAAATTTACCGAGAAGTAATATAAAATAAGAAAGCAAATAAAATTGAATAAAACCTCTTGCAATTTAAATTAAATCTCCCCAAACCAGCAATGACTACCTTTGAGGCCATAGCTCCTCTGGGAGGAGCCTCCATCCTCAATATGTGCCTCAGGCTCTACACGGCCCCTGCCCCTCCAGAGCCCATCACAGACAGTGCACACCTCAAATCAACGAGCTTTGAAGACCTCTGAATATTTTGTTAAATGGGCAAAAGCAGTATTCTTTGTGGACTTACTCAAAGAACAGGGAGACAGGAACATCAGGAATCTGGCCAAGGGGCAGGTTTGGGGTGCGCAGGTGTCTAGGGCACCATCTGGTGACCCAAGGACTTGGAAGTAGCCTACATTAGGGCTTCCCAAGCTTTTCCACAGTGGCAGCCACCTCCACTGTCTCCCTCAGCACTGGAGCTGCTGCCTGCTGGCACAGCCAACTCTCCCAGTGGTGGGCAGCCAGCCTCGACCCCTCTCCTTGGGTGAGAACCACAGCCCAAAACCACGTGTGGAGGAGACTCGCCCTTCCCCGGGTGTTGCAGGTGGAGGTGATAGGGCAGGGCAAGCAGACCCACCTGGGGGCCTTCCCTGGAAGGGGCCGACCTTCATCGCAGCACAGCAGGGCAGTGGGAGAGGAGAGCCGCCGGGGGAAGGGCTCTGGAAAGCCATTCCTCCTGAGCAGCTCGAGGAAATTCATATTTCATGTTCTGCTCCTTCTCTGCCCACGGAGTTCTTTCTCGTGGTGGTGTGTAGGTGTATGTGAGGGATTTATCCTTTCCCCACTGAATCACTGCAGCACAACATCTTTTCAACCCTTCTGTACAGCACAAAAGAGCCTCATGGCATTTCTCCTCATTTTCCTGCTTAAGGAGACAGCCGGCAAGCTCCACATTGTGACCCAGTTGCACCCCAGCTCAAGGCTGGGAACAGCACAAGCCTTCCTAGCCCCGGTGGGACATGCTTGGGGAGGGGCACACACCACTCCTTCTGCCAGCTGGCACCCCAAAACCACAGCCCAGCTTGGCTGATGCCTGCATGAAGGTGCCTGGGATGCTGCAGCTTGTTTCACTGGAAAATGGCTCTACACCCAAGGAAAGGAGCAGAGCAGGGTATCCTGCCTCAGGAGCCCAGGTTGAAGCCAAAGTGTTATCAAATCCCACTTGCCACAGTAACAACCCTTTATACTTTAACTAGGGGCCGCTGGAGTATGCTTCCACCAGGTCTGATACTGGTGTTGTGTATGAGTTCTCTGGATTTTGAAAAGAGAACGGGGAGTAAATGAGTTCTGCAGCTGTCATCATGGGCAGAGGCATCGCCATGATTAGAGGCTCAGCCATGGACGAAGGCTTTCCTGGCTGAGCTTCTTATCAATTACTTATTTAGAAAAAGACACAGGAGCTTTAGGGAGGTAGCCAACAATAAAAAATTAAATTACCTTTTTCTGGCTGCATGAGAAACAGGCACTTCTTGCGACTTCACATAAACATTAAGGACCGTTCTGTAAGTTGTTCCACCCAGCAGCGCCTTCCAACCCAAGGACCTCACAGCACTCAGCTTCACAGCAACTTGATGAGACACTGTATCTAGTGGGCCTGACGCAAGCCAGTGGGCTCTGGCACCACCGTGCCTGTCCAGCATCACTGTGTTCTCACTGAACTTTGGCCAGTCACTGCTCAGCCCACGTCAAGTTAAAAAAGTGTCTAAAAGTTTTCTGATTATCCCTGTGTGCAGTGTGATAGATCAATATCTTGGGGCTGTTCTGCCCCATCTTTGCACCTTCAACACAACAGTGCCTGGCTCCTTCCCTCTCCTCTTTCCTCTCTCAGAACAGGGCAAGACTGCACTGAAGTACAGGCAAAAGCCTGCAAACATTGAGCCATTGGTTCTGATTTCCCACATTTAATCTCCTCTGGGCTGGGAGAAGGCAGGGAGATCACTCTTACTACTCTGCCCCATCTCTGTGTCAAATCACTCCAGACTTCTGCATCAGCTCAGCAACCTGATGTTTTGAAGGTTTTTAGAGGGGCTCCCCACCGCGCACACACACACTTCTCTTTGCTGTTTTTGCTCCCTGGTCTGTTTCTCTTCTCTTTTTATACCCCATCTCTCATCCAGTTTCTGCCCTCCAACAGTCTCTTAGCAGATATATGGGCTGCTGCTTAGAGAGCAAGTCGAAACAGGGTGGATCACCAGGACACTGTGGAGAGCAGCAGTTAAGGCTAGACAATTCCCAAAGACCACTGACATGCCTGACATCCCCTCCTAGCAGATCTGAGCTGTTTGCAATCTTGTGTAAATATGAGCACACACGAAAGTGGGAGCACAGAAGGTGGGGAGGGCACTCAGTATAAGTGCTGTGCTCCAAACCCTTCCCAGGTTTTAGTTCCTCCCTCTTGCCTGGGCCCACTGAGCCCTGCAGGCTGTGCACAGAAGGTAAATGAGGATTCAACCACAAGAGCAGGAAAAGGCTTCCTCCAAATGAGAGCTGCAGTTCAAGGTATTCCCTCCTCCCCTGTCCCCCCAAAATTAACATCTCCTTTTAGAAAATACAATTAAAAAAAAAAAAAAAGAAAAGAAGGAAAAACCCTGGGGAAACTAAAGAGTTCTCACGGTGAATTTTATTTTGTAAGCAACAATATAAACATGTGAATAAAACAGGCATCATTTGCAGGGCTGGCCTTTGATCCAGAGTACCCTGGATCTAGCAACCCTTCACGAGCAGACGAGGGCAAGCCTTTACCTGCGACTCCAGAGGCTAGCCAGGTTGCAGTCCACCAAGACCTTTGTCATGGAAGGACCAATGCTTGAATATTTGCTATTACCAAACGTATGTGCAATCTCGGAATGTACCTCCCACCTCCCCCCCCAGGTTAAAAAAATCCAAATCATACAGCTGCAAACCAGTAAAAAAAGTTGCTTCCAGCTTATTGAGACTGAAATGGCCTGTTGGACTATAAACTGAAATATTGTTCTGGAGATAACCAACTGGTCGTGACACAAAGTACTGTATTTACAACTCAAAAATATAACTGTTATATACTTTAATTTATAGCAAATTTAATACATTAGTGTTTACAAAATAAAATCTGGACTCAACTGAAACAGCGTGCTGCTTAGCAAGTTCTTCTTCCTTCCTCTTGCTTTAATTGAAGAGACCAGCAAGCTTAAGAGCTTCTTCTGTGATCCACACATAACATTTGATGGTGTTAGATGTTGGAGAAAACCGAATGTTTCCTGCATCTCTAAAGGTTTGTCGCTTGGTACCTTCTATTGCTCAAGCTGTACAGTTCAAACCATAAGCTGTCCTTTAACAAGTTCCATACACGTCTCATGAAAGCTACTCAGATACTAACCAGGGCACTGGTTAATGTTACAAACTTAAGAAACATCCGTACTACTAGCTCACACAACAGGAAAGAGGAAATATAACTACACATTCAATCTCTTATTCCTAACAGCAAAGCTGTGAACTCCATTGCTTTAAGATACTTCAGTAAGTGAAACAGTACCATACAGTTCAAGAAACATTTTTTTTTAAAAAAACAAACATTTTAATAGTATAAAAAGTTGTTTTACTGGTGTTTCTACTATAAAGCTTTGTTCCACAAATCAAGTGATAAAATAATTAGGTATGTTTACAGTGATAAGAGACTGCAGTGTAGACATTTCAGCTCACATTTTGCTGAGCGTTTCAGAACAACAGAGACTGTGACTGATTTGTTAATACACACCTATGACACAGAGCAAACTGCAGACATGAAGTGCATACTTGAACAGGGAAGTTTACCCACTGGCATTCTAACTTTCTTCAGCTATCCCTTTCACCTCCAGAACACATCATAAGCAAAACCTGTATTTGGAAACTGAGGCATACAACTATCTTGACTGCAGAGCAGCACAGTGGAGAAATGGATGCACACAAACACACCATGGTAAATTCCAGAGTTATATGCCAACTTACTTCTCCTTAGATAAAATGACATCTTCAAAAGTGAACATGTACAAAAAATAAAAACTGTCAAATAAATAAAGAATACAGATGTTAATTAACCACATATATAAAGAAACGTATTGGCATACTGTATGCAGTATACGGTATATTCATAGAATCATGTGGGCTGGACAGCACTTAATAAGGAGTCACATGCTAAACACATGACTCCTTGTCTCTCTTCCCCAAAAAATCTTATGGTTTCTGGATATCAAGTGCAACCTTTTATACTGATGCATAAATCCTGCATCGTATGTCATCTTTGCCACACTTAGGATGCTTTTTTTTTTTTTTTTAAGATTCACAGAGAAGTCCAAGAAGTTATAATGGTTTGAATCACAATTTTTGCAGCCCTGTCCATGCTACTTGGTCTCTTGAGTTTCCTACCAAATGAGATTTCAGTAATTGTACGGTTTATCAAACCCCAGTTTTTCCCAAGGAAATGGGAGCCAATCATATGGACTCTTCCATACTTTAACTGGCATTTCCTATACTCCTGACTTGTAGGTAGGTATTATGCTATAGAAGTGTTACACAAAGGCTGCTGAAACCATTGAAAGTGATGTAGCGATAGTTAAGTGTCAAGTATGTCTGCTATGATACAGAATCAGGGTCTAGGTCTATCAAATGCTATATCCACATAACATTTTTAACCATGAAATATTTTATGCATTTTCCTTTTTCTATAAATATTGTTGAAAACTTGCTGTTAATTGTGTCACGAGGTTTGCATTCCTAATTTTCCAATGATTTTAAATTCAAATGTTTAACAACCATATCTACGCTAGGTACACTGAAAGTAGACATTGAAATTTCAAGTAAAATGAACTGTAGCCACATCTACTGGACTCAATACACGTCCCGACATCTAGATTTACTTTGATAAGTTATACAAATACATAATACATTCTTAAATAATGAAGACCCACAATATTAATTTGTGAATCTTCCCACGTTATAAAACCACTTTTACAGGAATGTTTATCCACCTGTATTACTGTTTGAGTTTGCAGTGTCTCTTGCTTTCCTGTTTCCATAGATTACTGTACCAGTTCTTAGGCTTTGGCTATTGAAATCTCTTATTTGAATGAGGCAACACTGGTTATTAAGGCTGTTTTTTTTTCTCTTGTGAAGTTTCATTCTTTACTACGACACTGTTTTCCAGAGCAGAATGACTATCTTGTGTCTTCAGGTTCTGTTTTTATGACCTTCCTTTCTATGTTGTTAAAAGCCGAATGAGGAAAATCCTTTAAAATACCAAGGCCTTCTGCATTGAGAAAAGAAAGAAAGTAAGATGTTAAAACACTGCTTGGAAACAAATATATTCTGTTTTTAAATCAAGAAAAAGGTCCAAGAACCATATGGATACTAAGAGTTGAAGCAATAAATTCTGCCTCCTCATCCTGGGCTTTAACCCAGCTGGGTTAGAACCACCTCAGTTACACTGCAGTGATGGCTGAGGAAGCACCACAGATTTACTTCAGTCCTCTCCAGGAGCAGGGCTAATGGAGATGCACTCTGCACTTGCATTTTGAGAGGGAACTGGTAAAACTCCCCAACTGGAGACTCCACTAAGTGTATTATCAGTGGGATTGAGACAATCTGCAAAAAAGGTGAGCCTAAGATTCCAATATTCCAAAGAGGAAAATGCAAGGTTCTACTCAGTCTTCAAAACAACTTTTGCACCTTCTCTTTCAAATAAGCTCCTTTCCACTGCATCTTTCAAACTCACGTGAGATTTTATCATTACTCCTAAAATTACAAGAGTCTCCAGAATTCCTGTCTTCATCTCAGTCCACCAAGTATTAAACTGAAACCCCCCAGAGAGATTTCACAAAGGTTTCTTGCTCTCTTCTATCAAACTTAGAGTGGCTCCCACAATGCCAGAGGTAAATTACAACATTGCCAGTGAGCAGAGGTCACTGAATAGGAAACCCAGGTAGAAAAGACTTACTGCATGACATGCAGTTCACAGTAGAGAAACAGTGGCAGGTCCTTATAAACCAGAATAAAGAGGTGTTTTTATAAAAAGTCTCATTCTTTTATACAGAATGAAGCCATATTAGAATCATGTTGCTGTGACTGTAATGCAGTTTAAGTCTTTAACAGCAGTAGCTTGGGTCAACAGCACTGAGGACAGACACATGCCAGAACTTGCTTATCTGAACCTAGTTACTGCATCCCCAAAGCTTTTCCCAAATCATATTCAATCCAATTCCAGATTAGCAAGTAACACTCCTCTTGAAGTCTTCACCAAAGCCTTGACTGCATGGTTCCACACAGCACATGCCAGGCTGCCTTGCTAGCTGCTCCACTCAGAGACATCACAGATTAGTAAATTTATCACAGGCTTTGTAAGAAACAGTGGGTAATTTCCACAGGACAGCACTAACCTGAGGACTGGGACTTCGCCTCACCACCGGGATAAAGCCGGATCAAATCACTGCACAAAGGTTTTCCAACATGCTGCTCTCCATCAAGTGAAATGTGCTGCATCTGTCTGCTTGGCAGACTGGACATCCGGAGGTTCAGCGGCCTTTCACCTGCAGGTTGTTAAAAGAAAAGCAATATTAAAAAACAGGTAGAGACCTAAAGACATGCTAATTCCATCTGCAAAAGCGCATCCTAAATTCCAGCTGCTCAGGGAAGTTTCACAGCAAAACAAGGCTTATGTAAATATGCTGCTTTGCAGACTACTCCACAGGCACTGCTAGAAAGACACTCAGCCACAGAATTTTTTTTTTTTTTGTAACATCTCTTTATTCTTTCAAAAAGCCCCTTGAGATACTAAAAATTTCTGCTCCCACTTCAGAATCCCTCTGAGATCCTAAAAATTCCCACTTTCCCTGCACAATGGATTAAGGGTATAAAAAAGCTTGCTCTGCCAAGGAAAGCTGGATCCACACACCTTCATCTTCCTGTATACTTTTGTACCTCATTGCTTGACCAATACATACAAATGAAAACATGTTTTATTGCTTACTTGTATTGATTCCCTTAGTTCCTCTCTCTACTGCTCCTCTTCGCCTCCCCTTAAACAAACTAGCTTCTAAAAAACAGACACGAGAACTTCTGGTTGTATTTTTTCTGTTTGTAATATTTTGTCTCATTTCACAACAGTAAAAAAAGAAATCCAAACAGAAAGTGCTCCAACAAAACAAACACTCCTAAAATTAATTCAAGCTAAGGAATAGCCAGTTGGTAAATCAAAGAGAACCACAGAACTGAAAGCTTTTTGAAGAATAACAAGCTACTAAGATCATCATTAGAATCTGCTTAGCTCTAAGTAATTTACACAGCCAGCTCCTCAGGTTTTGTTCCTAGACTGCACAAACAGGTAAAAAAAGGAGTACCAATTACATTATCTTCTTTACTTTCAATTTCCACAAAACCAGGACACAAATGAAATGCAACATTCTGCTCTGTTTTCAAAACTGAGGATAAAGGCAGAGCCAAGTCCTGCTCTCAGTAATAGGGATGCACCCAACCTTCTTCCCTCCCCACATCATCCAGAGGGAAAGCAGTTTGCCCAGATACATTAGAGTAACAGAGCAGAACCTGAGTATACATCTGGATTGCATTACTGAGACCGTAAGCACTTCAGGGCAGAGATCTTGTCTTGTCCATTCAGTGCTCAGGGTTCTATACCAGATAAACGACACCACTGACACGGGTTGCATAACACCAAAGGTATTTGCTGGCAGCAACACCGTGCCTGGGAGCTACCATACCTTGTCCATCAGCATTATCTAATGACATGCCATTGGGGCTGTGCTCTTCCGAGTTCTGTCTGTAACACCCTGTGGAAAGACGTCTCTCTAACGCTGCCTGGTTGCAAAGAAACTCCATCTGTTTTGCCATCACCTTTTCCGACTGCAAATAAAACAGAAAAAAATTCCTCTCTATATACATACATATAGCAAGTCAAAACACAGGGGGAAAAACAATATCAGATGATAAAACTAACAGCCTAGATAGAGGTTTTTGTTGACTCATATGTACAGATGTGTGTTTTACGGTTTCTTCAAAACTATGAAGCAAACAAAATATTTTTGCACCCATAGAGATTTTCATAATGTACATCTGAGTCACTCAAGAATACTTAAAATGCAAGCTGTTGTAGTTCATCCACAGAGAAACGCTACATTAAATTCTGTTCTTCAAAAACACACAAAAATCACTTTCTGCACTTTAGGACTCCAGGTTACGTGAAGAGAATCTCAAGAAAAGCAAATAAGAATGTCTTAATTATCCAGTTAGCTCTGTTCAAATACATGTCTTCTCAAAGTACTCCAGAAAGTATTCCAAGAGCAATGGTAACATCTGCTAAAAGCTTATGCCAAGATTTCACCAGACATCTTGGAATCTTTATTTTAGGAAACAGCACTACACAAGCTTAAAAATCTGCCATTCTGAAAGTGTAGGATGACAGTATGTTTGTGGGGGATAAAGGTGTGAAATGTCTGTCTAGAAGAAGAACAAGACCTATACACCTCTAGAGAGTGGAACTAAACAATCCAGTGCAACGTGGGAGGAAATGGCGTCTGAATGTTTGTCATTGACTTTAATGCCAAGAGAATTCTAACTTTCACTATGATCTTGTTCTTGAGAGAATGTAAATAAGCATCTTGCAAAAATAAAAAGAAAATCACAAGTCAAGAAAGTTGATTTAGAAGAGCCACAATGAACATAAGACTGGAAAATGTACAAACTTAACATTTACAATTGATAGGAAAAAATAATTTGTCTTTAAGGTAATGCCATAATTGGTTCATTTAGTACAGAGTCTTATTCATTGCAGACCACTTCACTTTTCTTGGGAGATGATGAAAGCCCTGACTTCCCACCAAAGTCCGCTTATTCAGCATAGTTAGGTAATTTACACATACAATGACAGCATAACAAACCAGCAAACTCTGAGCTTTTCCAGCACAGTGATGACCCTGACAGCAGGGTAATAACATGACCAGTATTTACTTACTCTGGCTCAGAGCTCATCAGGTTTTGCAGAAGACCACTGATAGCTCAAGCTTGGTCTTAGGAGGTAGGTAAAAAACTATTTTCAAATAATTCACTTTCAAGTGTGCTTTCACTTTGCTATTCTGTCACTTTTGTTACCAACTTTTGAACTGTAATTTTAAAAAAGAATATTTCTGATTCATGCCATCTTCGTTGTTCAATTGGGATAAATCCAGAATTTTAAACTGCCATGATGCTTCTGATCACTGTAGAAAAATCTGTAGAGTTGTAGATACATTTAAGCTTGAATTAAATCTCTAGTCCATTGTTATTTGGCAATGACCAAACTTTAAAGCATACACTAAATGAAAATAAGCTTGCAAAAATCAAGTTCATTTAATTATTCTGTGACATCAGAACACGTAGCATAATTGCTTTTTGACGTATCACAATGAACAGATTTGTATGACCAAGCACTGCTTTGCAATAGCAGGTGGTAAATGAGAGGGTAACACATCCAGTCTCAGAAAACAGGGGGAACTCCTCAATGTAATCTTATGTGCAAATTCGGTGATTACATTTGGCCAAATCAGTTATACAAAATAAATTTGTTGCAACTTAGCATGAAATCCGTTCTTGCCAACAACTGGCAGTGGGAGACGCGTATTTTGCCTCGAGGTTGGGATACTCTACAGAAAGGACAAAGAAAGAATCGGAAACCAGTCTTCATTTATACAAAGCCTTCTGTCTGCTCAAGAATACCGCGCTTCCAGCAGAGGAGGTGTTGTCTAGAAGGCCAATTTATCCTCTCAGATCCAGAGGTTCGCTGATTTCCTAAATATATTGGCCTTTCTTCTTACAAGACGTGTCAGAACTGAGGACTCCAAGATCGCCTACTCTATTCCTCTAGACTCAGTAACTTGAGCTTTCCATTTATAGCGAATAACGCAAGTAACACAGCACAGACTGTACCAATACTACCCTACTTGCTCCCAACAGGCAACCACAGATTGTCAAGCCTACTATGCTAGATCCTCCCTCCTTGGAACTAACAAGGGCAAAGCCATAGTACTGTGTCAGAACAGTTTCAGAAGGTAAAACCCCAATTAAGAGTGATGCAATTCCAGCTGAGCTCGGTAGCCTTTGAAAACTGATGGTAATTAATTTAGTCAACAAAACAACACATCAAAACCAATGTGCAGAGACGTGGCCTGTATTATTCACAGTGTAGTGTAGTTGGTTTACCTGGGAATTAAGAGCTGTTGGGTCTTCGCTCTTTCCTTTAGCCAAAGCAAGTGGCATTTTGTCTTGCTGATAGAGTGTCTGGACTGTGTCCTGGAAATCAGGATAACCATCCTATTGAGCATAAGAAGAAACCAAACCAAGAGGGGCATATTATTAATTTTTCTTCACACTCTCCATACCTCAAAAGAAAAAAAAAAACAAACCCAAAACAAAACAAACCCCCCCCCCAAAATAAAAAACAACCTGAACCAAAAAACCAAAAACCACATTCCTGAACTTCTATGAAATTCTGGACTGCAATTTATATGTTCGTGCTCTCCACTCCGTTTAAGTTTGTGCACTAAACACACACAGCCCCTCTACAACAACTGCTATATATATCTAAAATGGCATAGACAGAAGATCTCATCTCTCATTTTTTTGTGAATCCAGACTACCGTTGTTACTGACATTAAACTAGTTTGCATTCAGCCTTGCCAGGCAAATTTAGGCCTGTGGTTTCTGTCACTCATAAGAAATCAAGTTTATATGTAGTCAAGAATTTATACTAACCTTGTGAAACTGAGAAAAGCCTCCTGAAATTCAACATATTTCACACAGAACCTTCACTAGTACCACAAAATGAAATATCACTATTTTAAAAGTACGGTAGAGAATTTATGTACTACGGGAAATCATGATTCAATAATTCTTCCAGCCTGAAATTCTTATGACATGCAAATCTCTTCTGCAGCTTGCATATGTACCAATAAAGCAAATAAAGTTCCTGTGAAAGCCTGCCAGACTCCATTAAAATAAATTAATCATCGAAGCAAAGGTTCAAGATGAGGAATTTATCCAGCTCAGTATTAAAAAAGGAAAGCTCACGTACACTAGAGGAACATCCAGAAATGTTTACAAAAGCACAGCATAGATGACACTGTCAAAATGTGAGAGGAAGCCAGAGATCTTAAGACAGACCCAAATCTGAGAACACTGACATCTGCCACTGAGGATCTGCAGAACTGGGTATCAAAAGTATGCCACATTAGGTATATTTTCCTTGTGGATTTTAAAGACAGATATATGTCAATAATTATATTTTTGACAACAGCTGGACAAAAGGGTTACAGCTCAAGAACAATAAAAGTGATCTTTCAGAAAAACCACAGGGGAAGGACTACAAGGTTCCTGCCATTGGCAGGCTGCCCACTGACCTGCAGAGCTGTGCTCTGACCCACGGCAGGTTGCCAGAGCCTCAGGGCAACATAATGCCAATAGACCTATTCTTCATGCTCAGGAAAAAAAATTAAAATCAGTCTGAACACTGTATACTGCTTTTATCCACCCAACATAATCCCTCATGGAACAAATAAACATGAGAGCTATGCAAAAATTTCATAGCCAGGTAAATTGCCACAAAGCCTCATCCACCAGAAACAAAGGCTTTGCAGCACTTTTCCATGAGCACTGACCACTTTCACAGTCAGACCTGAATTTGTCTGGGAGAGGAGAATGATCATGAGTAGGAAGATGAGGAGCTGAACGGACAAAAAACCTATCACTCAGGATCCTATTTTTGCAACCTAACAGGTAACAGGTTTTTTTATAACATATTTGTGACCGCCTGCCTATACAAAACTGAAGGCTGTTTCCCAAAAGTGGGTCTGGCTGCCTGTCTCTGTGTCTGTCACCCATCAGTCAGACAGGTAATTCTCGGATGATGACGTGGTTCTGGATCACCTTCCCAGAGCCCTTCCCCACCACAGGCTGTTCTCCCCGTCAGTGAGGGCTGACAAGGAGCACGCTGTGCCAGGCGAGTACCTGCTCTGCCCCATGGTTGCCTGGAGGTCCTGCTGCATGCAGTGCAGCATTTTTGTTTTGCCATGCTGCTGCTCAGTTGTTTTTCAAGCGGTTTCATGCAGCAGATGTTCCCAGTCCCACATGTGCTTTTTTGCTCCTTCTAATGACATTTTTCCTATGAAAACAGTAGCTTCTACTCCTTTTGCTGTTTTTGTGAAAAACACAAATCCCACACTTTGGTTTTCTTTTCAACCTTCTCAGCAATAGCAGAGGTGGGCCTGTTCCCTCCTCATCCTCCACCTGTACTGGCACCCAGGGAAGACACTTCTTTGCAGCCTCCGCTCAGGTCTTCCTGCCTGTGCCCCCTGACTCCCACTGAGCTTTGGGAAATTAGCTTTTGAAAGCTCTTGCCACCCTTCTCTTTCAGCTGAATGAAGACACTGACACACAAAACAATTTCTTTATACTACAGACAGCAAGAACATTTTAAAAACTCTCTTTTTGCTCTCATGGCTGTTCACATTGACTCTGAAGGGGAACCTGGTCGACCCCAATGGCAATGAGCAGCTTCCCTTCTCCATGAATTCTGTGTGATACACCTGTGACTTGTTTTGTTTTCTAGCTGCTGCCACAACAGCTCATTGCTTTGAGCAGTGCCAGCACTGAGTCACAGAAGATGACAAGGTAAGGGATGCCCCTACCTCGCTACACCTAAGCAGGAGAGATCCTTGCTCTGCAGGAGGATACATCCTTTCCATCCCTGTTTGCCTGTCCTGCTCTTTGTCCAGAGCACATTTAGGAACTACAACCCCTTTTTTATACTCTGCTTCCAAATCCCAATTCAGTCCATTGCCTTTTTCACTCCCTCCACACCTTTAGTCTGTCATTTGCCTGGAATTTTTTCCCTTCTCCTCTTTACACTTCACTCCCACAGCTCACCCACCCACTCTACGAATAAGAGGGGGAGAGCAGGCAGGGGAAGAGAAAGGCTTTTACAGGTAATTTGATGTAATTCATGGCATATTGTTTCTTTGTAATGCTTGTGAGAGTTTCATATTCATGAAAAGGATAAATTTACAATGTGGCTGTAGCCTGACAATGTTGCAGCTTGCACACACAGCTCTGCTCAAGGATGACCTTCAGAGTCTCTCTGGAGGCTTTTTAAAGTGTTATTATATTTCAGGAAATTAACTCATCTTTTTTTTTTTTTTTTAAGTAATCTTTTACACTATGTAAAGAGGCTGTGAAGTCTTTCCAAATTGAAGCCCTAGTATTTTAGACCATGCTTTACAGAGACATTAATGACGAATGGGTAAAGGAATGGTGAATCAAAATACAGAGTTCAGCCTTAAAACAGAAAGCAAAATGAGCATTATAAAA